GATGTGCGATTGGAGTCGAAAGCGATTGTATTCAGCGGTCAATGCATTGAATCGCGAAAACAATCGCTTGAAAACGGATTTCATTCAATTGAGACTAATTTCACACAAATATAGACAATATTTCACACGTTTTGGTGATAAGACACAAACGGTGGTCCACTTGGATGACCGGCTAAGAGAAGAGATCCGCGATTTGAACGCCTTTTACGACACAAGTTGTCTCGTTTTGGTGGATAAGTTGCCCTCAAATTGTAATGACTTTCGGTTAAGACTTATTTTGTTGAATACTTTGATCTCATTTAATGGTTTCCTTGGAATAGGTTGTCGAAGAAGTGATGATTGCATGAGTAGTGAGTCCATTACGGATGCATTGTTTCAATCAGACCACAAGACTAAGTGTCATATGAATGGCCAATCTAAGGATGTCATAATTGGTGATATTGTTGGTGGAAGTGGTGGAGTGAGTGACCCAATGGCCACAAATGGTCTTAAGATAGCAGACAAGTGTTTGGATAAAGTGGACGATAGTTGCGCGAAGAGTGAGAGGAAATATGTCTGCGATTACATGTCATGTGATAAGAGTTATACCGATATATCACACCTAAAAAGGCATCAATTAATACATTCCGGACGTGTGTATCGGTGCGGATGTGATGGCTGTAGCGCAACGTTCACGAGTCCTCAATACCTGGACAGACATGTCAAGAGACAACACCCGAAATATCAGTGCGACTGTAAGACAGGTATTATCACTTCTCGAGGACACCAACAAATGAAAGCGAAGACTAATGACAAGGGAATGGAAGACGTGGTGGAGCCGTTTACTACTAAACCCACAGAAAGTAGATCTCAAAAGAAAATGCCGGAAGAATGCGATTGGAGTGATGAAGACATGGATGATAATAGTGAACCAAAAGGCAGTGCGAGTGTTAGTAAATACCGAAAAGTTGACGGAAAATACATTTGCGATATCAATAGCTGTCATAAGAAATACGCCGATCGGCGCAGTCTTCGTGAGCACCAAATGTCTCATTCGGGCAAAAGATTTTACTGTTATATCGAGAACTGTTGCAAACATTTTGCTCACAAATCTTCACTCAGAATCCATTTAAAGACTGGAAATCATGTGTTTGGACAGCCGTTCGCCTGTGTCTATGAATGCGGTTTCAATATAAATGATAGAAAGGGTTTAGAGGAACACATAATGAGCTGTCCGTCCACTGAATTGCAAGTGAAGCCAATGAATGACCAGACAGTGAACACAATGTCTGATAAGTCAGTGCCGCAGAAGACTCACCATTCCGTTGATATATCTTTGCCAATGAATAGTACATCAGAAGTGATGGATAGTAAAGATGAAGATTATTTCGATTTTGATATGGGATTTGATATGAATGGTGACAATGATAGCAGTGCTGATGAAGAGCCCATCGCTAACCGAATCAGTGATAAAACGAGTGATAAGTTGTCTACAAATGAACAAAAGGTATCCGAATTAAGTGGAGGTCAACACAGCCTTCGCTGTGACTTTGAGGGCTGTTCTGCAAAGTTTAACTCAAAGCACAACCTCTTGTGCCACAAACGCATACACATCGGGAAGGATTTGGTGTGCGGTTTCATTGGATGCGACTTCAAGACTAAGATCAATAGTAATCTTCATCGACACAAACAGATTCATCGGTCGGCTACCGAAACAGAGACCTATGTCTGCGATTATATTGGTTGCGGCAAAGAGTTCAGTAATAGATCATACCTTTTAGTGCATAAGAGGAGCGTTCATTCGGGGCGAAGGTATGCGTGTGAGTGGCCGGGCTGTTCATCAACGTTCACGTGCCCACGCAATCTCACCAA